CTGCCCTCGAAGTTTCAAGCGGCAAACATGAAATCAGGCAAAAATGAATTATTTTAACATTGCACGTTTGTACTTGCCTATATATATATGTGTGATAGTAAAAAAAGAAGAAGCTCGGGAATATGTTCATTCAAAGCTTTTATACTACAAAGTGAAAGTATCGGGTCGAATGTTTCAAACAGATTTACTTTTGCCGCTCTGTGGCGATGTTGTGATGCGTCTCTTGTTGCCATGCGGTGTTGCTAAGCGCTGAAGGCCATGAAGGCTGCATATGCTCATAGATACTTGATGTTCGTGCCTTTTTGTGAGTGAAACGATACCCGTCCGCGAAGCGGACTACTTACACCGAGACGGCTATTACTCTCAATACAAATTCTACAGGTTATGTGGATCGCTCGAAAAGTGGTTAAGTTTTCAACTATAACAGTTCGAAGCAAACTTTTGTGTTTATCCGATATGGAACAGAAGATCACAAACTGTAGTTCGTTAAATTTCGTGCACATATTGAGAAAATGAAAATACAAATAGAACTATTTCATCTATTTTGAGTGAGCGGAAGAATCCATGTCAATTTGTCAAATGTGAAAATAGGCCTATAATGTTTCTAAGCCCTTGTCACAAGCTCGATAGACATGCAGCGAACTGCAGCGTACCAGTCTATGTTTACGTCAGTGCACGTACTGCTCCCGATGCCCTTGTCACAAGCTTGATATACATGCAGCGAACTGTCGATGTCACAGGCAACACCTGGCAGGGTTCAAACAAAAGGACATCACCTAACTGCCGGTGTGAGGGGGGAGCCAATCTGTATATATCAGTGTTATCACTCTTGGCATTAGGTGTGAGAAAAACACTGCAATATTTACTAATGGCAGTCGTTCGACTTTTTTTGCTTATTAACATTTCATGTATAAATGTTTTCTTTTTCTGAGCACAACTTTTCCATCACGACGGTATACACGTACATGTTACATACATGTTTATTCAACGTCCTTTTTGTACTACTGTGTACATAATCTCCAACGATGCCTGGTGGACTTTGTATCAATGTATAGTTCCGTTTCTTTTCTCCTTTCCCATCTGTAGTTTTTATGTCCACGGCAAACGTTGGTGCCAATGAAGAAACGCAAGATAATCTACACGTGTGGCTTGTGTGGGGAGAGGCGCCACAACGCACGCCTTTGTCCCAACTTCTGTCGCCACTGTCGACAACCTCACCACGATTGGAACTGTCGATTGCCACGGGTAAAGAATGAAATGCACTTTTTAGTCATAGAAGTTACACACTCATTACAATATAGCAGCAGCAACTGTCTTCATGACCCTTTCATGCTACATGCCTACTTCCAACCCCCCCCCCCTCTTAGGTCAGGGGGTATATACCGAAATCAGACTCCCCTCTTTTGCTTGTTGGTTTGGTTGGGAAATAGAAAAGAAAT